CATATTCTCATGTGGTAGATTTCTCTGTCAGAACTTTCATCACGACCTGCAAATGTATTTCTAAAGGGACTGCTTCTCTTAAAAGTGTTCCTCCATTGCATCAAGCTCATGCTAGTATCAGACCATCAAATCATCACGCTTGGTGTAATTGCATGGAAATACAACAGGAATGTGCAATAAAGCAGCTGCAGAGGTTTGACATAGGCAGCGTGCTGTATCACACCTGCCTATCTGAGCACTGGCAGGAAATGAGATGGGAACGATAAGGGAAAGGGAGGAGAGCCTCCTCTACAGCGCCCTCACAGTGCTGTCAAACACCAGTCATGACGCTTTATTTCCCTGGTGCATTTCCAGTCATGATAAAACTCACGGTAATCTACAGAGGCAGATGAGCTAGAGGCATGGGGGAGATTCTGTAAGAATATGTCAAAAGTCTCAGTAATGAACGCATGTGAAATTGAGAGCAGACCCATGGCCTTAGCATGACCCACTTCTCCTGAAGTCACCCCCTGTCTCACATGCCTCAGGCTGTTTAGCATAGTTTCAAAGCAAGAGTGAGTTGAGATCACTTGAGAGCCAGCCACTTTGAGAAATGTGAGTAATATGGGGCACAGCACTCACAACATAAACAGTCTATATGTCACACAAGGCACCTTTCATGATGTTAAGATTGACTTTGAAATGTAAATGCACAGCATATGGTGTATGTCAGAGCAGCCTTGAAGGAAGCAGGAGAAATCTCTGCAAGCATTATTATCTGAGCAATTCCACTCTATATGTACAATTCATATGCACCTCTCCATTTATGCTGATTTACAAATGCTATCGTAAGAAAAAGAAATGACATCAGAAAAAAACATAACCCCAGTCTAAACAATAGCTCACATGGCTTCAAATAAATATTATGGAATTAGTAAAATATTGTTAGTTTCTGATGCGTCATAGAGAGCCGACAAAGCTATTCCCATATTATTACGAACAGAATGAGATTTCTAGACACAGATGATAAGCATCTAATAGGAAAGAAGAACAAAGGCAGTTTAAAGGGTGAGCCGAGTAGCCAGTCACAGACACATAGATTTGTTGTTTGTCCTGTGTATTAATGTAAGGTATCTGACATAATGCGAGGTGGCAGCTGGGGGGGCTGTGAATGTACCATGGAGGTATGATGGATAGAGCACAGACCACGGAAGTTGGCGTTCATTAAGAGGGAAGGCAGACACCATGCCAGGGTAATTGCAGTGTTTATCCATTACTATTTCCGTTCATATATCAGCCACAGAGAAAACAATGGCGGATGTCAGCGGGTGCATGTGTGTGACGCAGCCCTGCTTCCCATCCATTTGCTTTATGTCTGCATGGAGCCATCGCTGCCGGCTAACATCAATTTTGAGGTCAACGGGGCAATGATAAATAAATCCAAACGCCAAATCCAAAAACACACCCATCGCATCTGTTGCTACAATGCATACTGTATTTATTATTGCACATGAATCCATTAGTCAAATGTGGGCAAGTAATGCACTGAGCAAACAGCAGACATACCAAAACAAGACCCAATCTCTCCAAAAAGTACAGTGGAAGCGTGCGCTCTTAAAAATAAAGGGGCCGAAAAGGGTCTTTTGGAGCAATGCCGTAGAACAGTGGTTCTCAAAAGGGTCCTCTGGGACCCCTAGACGGTCCATGTTTTTGCTCTGTCTCTATGTTTTGCAAGTTAGATTGGACAAAAGAGACGTGGGAGTTTGATGCATGCTCTGGCCGAACATCACTGCTATACAAAGAAGTAACTGGAGAGTGCTTGGATAGCACAATTAGAGAAAAAAGTCTATCTGAATAAGTGAAATGTAATGGTATGGCATAATACCATAATTCGCCAAGTAGAATAAATTAATACTTTACTAATGCCAGGTGGAGCCCGGTATTGTAGAATCTTGATGCTTACATCTTTAAGCTATATTCCTGGAAGCAAGCACAACCACCCAGAGATAAATCAGCAGATAGCCACTGTGATACAAACTTGGGAAGGTGTTGTATTAGCTGTGAAAAGGACAGCACTCAATGTGCTCTACATCTCAGGCAACGTTAGCATAATGCTGTACTTAAATCATCTATATCTAAATAACAAAGAAAGGCAATACCCTAATATAGAGCCAACCTCACTGCCAGAAAGTGAAGTAGTGACAATCCTTGGTAATACTGGGAAACTCTAAATGAACATGATGCTACGCACCATAGATTCTATGAACATGCTTTGAATTAATGGATGGGAGAATAGAGAGGAGAATAAAAAAAAGTGGTTCCAGTGTTGCTGTCATTCACCTATTTAACCGCTAGAGAATTGAGCATCATTTTGAAAACATTATGTAAGTTTTGGGAATTTGGTTTTCTGGTGTATAGCTGTACATGCACACAACATGCAGAAGAACATTTTGTAATGTCGGTTGGGCTTTAGACCCCTTTTAATGGATGAATCTGTTGACTGCGAGTGAGCTGAAAGAGTGTTCAAAGAGAACATAAAACTTGGTGAAGGACATTTCTTATGAGGATGTAAGTGAATGATCTACTATTGTCATCATATCTTTATCAGTATAATGTTGATTTTGCATTTGAGACCTAAACGTCAAGTCAGAACTTCTTTTCCGATCTGACGCCTCTGACTTTAAAATTAGCATTTCAGGCTTTACAGGGTGACTCACAGCACACAATATTTGAGTGTGTTTTTTTCTCCTGATTCAATAATGCTACTTCTTTCTAATGTAAAAAAAAAAATCTTACATGCACCTTTAAGTAAAGTGTTCATTTCCAAATAAAGTTTTGGGCCAAAGGTTAATGCTTCTAAATAACTGTTACAATTGGCTAATATTTTCTTTTTACTGTCATTTCTATTTTGAAAACTTACATTTTTAAGTAAATATGAGTTTGTTCAAAAACAAGCAAACTTGCTTAAAACGTTGTAGTAAAGTACACTATTATGATTTACAGTATACCTTTGGTTCCCCAAAGAGCCTTTCAATTGATGGGTTTAAAAAAAAATTGTAAATGAACTGTGCGAACATGAGGAATGGTTTCAAGGAACCTTTACATAATATAAATATTCTGTATCAATTAAAGGTTTTTCCTACAACTGTACATTCATACCAGAAACATTTAGGATCCTTTATTAAAAAGAGTATAATGCTGACCTTATATTTGAAACTTTTTGACAATGTTTTCAATAGCTGTCACTCTATAATGTTCTTTGTGCTTAAAATAAATATTATTGAATTTCTGAAGGGAAACAGAGCCAGTGTGAAAAGCTGCAGTATCACCCAGTAAAATGGAGCACTTTCATGTCAAGCACAAGGTTTTATGTCATCATCATTTTGTTTCTAATTAATGATGCTGGAAAGTAGAGCAGGCCCGCATGTCCAGCGGAGAGGGCATGTGAAGTTCATCCTTTATTTAAAGACCCGTCATCTATTTCCTCTCCTCATATCCTGAGGTGAAAATGGCAGTGCACCTACTGACACCTCTCTCTCCCCAGGCCTCCCTCCAAACACAGGAAATGGCCTTGTCATTTCCTTTCTCACCTCACACGCACAAACAAATACTGTACACCTCCTCTATCACACCAGCCATTAGGAAGGCTTTGAGCGCATTCTCAGTCACATATCTCGTATCACTATATCTCATGCAGAAGTAAGCTAAAAGCCACTATCACATTTTATCTGATGTTGAAATCTGGACATTTTAGGTTGTGGAGTTCCTTGAAGAAAAGCAGGAAAAAAAAACACACAAATCACACAAAAAAACAACCATTAAACAATCCCACATTAAATTTAAGCACTGCAGTCAGCCATTAGATCTAAAAGCAAAGAGTGCAGGTCAGTGTAGTTCAAGGGAATCATTTGAGGGTAAAAAAAAAACTTAAAAAACTTAAAAAATGGTTTAGATAAAGAAAAGATTTTGAGCTGTTTCCTAAGGAGGTCTGAGACTAACCAGTCCCCAAGAGGGTCACTGAAGGTTTCCCTAACTTAAACAAACCTAACATATTCTGGGCTCAAAGTTTCCATACAGATTTACTCATGTAAAGCTGAGGAGGCTAAAGTGGAGGCAAAGCACTGTCGAAGGTCAGCCCAGCCTTACGGCTAAATCATGATGTTTTATAGCATGTAGACCAGACATAGAACAAGCCATTCTACAGTGATTTAAGTTCCCTTGGTTTTCCTTGACGTCTTCTAGTCAATGGCCTTTTCATCCATTAACATTTTGGTTTGGAAGACATTTTGCATATCTGCAGAACATGCAGTGACAGAGACATGAGGAGGAGGTGAAATCTGCGTTTTGTCTCCGTGAATGCTGCGCAGGCTCTAACGCTGTCATACACAGATTCAACTGTCTGAATGGCAAATGAAAAGATGCTATTTGCCCTTTTGTCAAAGGAAGAAAGCCAGTTTGTGGGACTTGCGATGGTAATTGAAAGAGCCTTCAAAAGAGAAGCACCAAAGACAGGAAGAGAAACAATAGGATGAAAATCCTACTTTAGGGACCATGTGACGAAGATGGTGTCAGTCAGCATGACGGGGTCTTTGTGGACTTCTGAACTGACCTCCTACGGATTTTGACTCAGGCTTCAAACATGAGGGCTCTGACTGAGTTAAGTAGGAGCACACAGGGTCTGTCCGGTTCTGTCAATCTAAGTGGGTTAATTACAACATTATGTTTCCATCCTCCGAGTCCCCCTGGCAAGCCTTACGGAAGCACTGTGGTGCAAGCTGGCTGATTGAGAATAATTGCATCTTGTTTGAAAAGCTTTTGAAAAAGACACAAGAAGGGGGGCAGTCTTTTTTATAATGGTGTAGAGTGCAGTTGTAGGGGTTTTTTATACAGCTGGAAGGAGCAGAAATACAGGCTCAAAACAACGAGTGTCTCTTGCTGACAAATGCTACAGTCAGTGTCCGTTGTAGGATCCAGGAAGTCATGTCTACCAAAACCAGCAAATTAGGTTTGGGCGACTTGGACGCCTAAGAGTTCCAATGAATGTTTTTCTTCATCATTAAAGCGTCAGACGTGTGTGCGTGTGCGTGCATCTTATGAGGAGGGAAACATGGAGAGCTTGTACTTGTCAGCTGTTTTTCTTGGTCCTCTGTTCAGTGTCCATTTGCCACACCCCTGTTGAATACTGTTGTAAAATAGAGCATCAGACAGCACTCGTTTCTGTAGGGAGAGAGACAGTGGAAAAGAGAAAATATATGCTCAGAAAAACATAATAGTACATAATGTGTCTCATTTTGTATAGCACATTGCCAAGTGCTAAGGATCAAGTCCATAAATCATCTCAAAAAGTGCTTGCCTCAACATTTGTAAATACATGAGGCAGATAACAGCGAATACAAACTGTCTACACAAAGAAAAATAGGTGCACAGTGTCAGACAGTGCGCAAGACCAAATTTACAAGGCAATATCTCCATATAGCCCATTTCTCCTCTTATCTAAAAGTGATAATATTGTTTATTTCCAGGGCCAGAGTGACACTGCCAACATATTTACGTTAATGTAAGATTTGCATTAACACAGACACATATATCCACACAAAAGGTTAACAAATAACACCACACATAAAACTTTCTATCTATAATTTTATGGACAGAGAAATAATGTTCTTAACTGTGATTTAGTTCAATGCAGTGATTCTCTAACTGGTCCTAAAGGCTCCTCAGACTGGTTATACTTTTGCCCCAACCTAACTTCCAATGCTTATGGATAGAATGAAAACGTAGACTTAGGAGGGATGGGTTGGGGTGGATGGGACCAGTTTTAGAACCACTGCTTTTATTTATTGACATTATATTCCTAGCAATTCTGGACCATTTCTATTGGTCCATTCACTATAAAATGTTCACATAATGTAAAGGGCAGCTGCCTAAAGAAATCAAAGTAAAAAAAAAAAAAGGTTACAAGGTTTTGATGGTAACAATATACTGTACGTAGCTTTTGCAATGGCCACTTGTATAAAGAGCATCATGACGGCACCAATTTGGCATTCATGTCAGATTGGAGTAGAACAAGTCTCATCTACAGCCTGCTCTTTATTCAGCCTGTTTAGTCAGCTATTGATTAGTTCAACTCAGACAGCTTTGTCACAGGAATTAATCTGTGGTGTGCCACAATTCAAAACAAACAGGGTCTGCTCTTTGTTACTTTCTGAACTACTGCAAGGTCATTCATTTAATTTATTTCATGGGCTAAAGATTTCACATCATTATTTTTCTATTTGATATTTGGTTTCTTCTTTGTTTCCAATTTTAATGCAGCCAGCAGAATGCTTTTGCATGTTAAAGCTATTTTCCTTTTACATAACATACAACTGTGATTCCAAAAAAGCTGGTATGCTGTGCGAAATGTAAATAAAAACAGAAAGCAATGATATGCAAAACCAATTAAGTTAACTCGCAACAGGATTGGGTATAAAATAAGCAGAATGGCTTAATCAGAAGTAAAGATGGGGAAGGGTTCATCACTGTGCACATGGCATGGCTGATTTGCACATTTGTGAAGGCACCATTAATGCTGAATGATATATACAGGTTTAGGAGCTACATATGCTCCAAACTGTCATGTACTGAAAACACTGGGGCATTATGAAAAGAAAACTACAACAAATGAGACCCTGAACTGTTGAGCAGCAGAAATCCTATATCATGCAACAACAGGAAACATTTCACTTTCAAAACTACAGCAAATGGTCTCTTAGTTCCCAGATGCTTAGAGTGTTGTTAAAAGAAGAGGTGATACAACACAGTGGTAAACATGCCCCCGTCCCAACTTTTTTGACACATGTTGAAGGTATCAAATTCAAAAGTTTTCAAAAAATACAATTTCTCGGTTTCAACATTTAATATGTTGTCTTTGTGCTATTTTTAATTAATTATAAGATTTAAATGATTTGCACATCATTGCACTCTGTTTTTATTTACATTTCGCACAGCATTCCAACTTTTTTTGGAAATGGGGATGTAATTAGAATTTGAATAGAAAGTGTCAAACCTTTCTATTCTAAGAGTTTAAGCCACTAAATTGGTTTTAGTGTATATGCAAAAAGAGTATTATCGTACACTAAAATTAAAAAAAGTTTTAGTAAATGGAAACTAACAAAACAGAGAAATTAAACTTAAATGAAACTACTAGCCTACAGTAGTAGGCTAACAGAATAAATAAAAAATAATCATTATCTTATTCTGTCATACAATTCTGTCATCTATTGTTTTCATAAGCTCATGGTACTGCAGGTAGAGAAGTTTTGTATATGAAACAGCAAAAGTAATTTGACTGATACAGAGAGATGGAGCCCTCTATGTAGAAGCACCAAAAGAGGTGACAATTGAGACACACTGGGTCCCCTCTATGCAGATCACTTTGGTATAACTGTAACAGCTGGACTTTGACTTGGCTTATGAGCTGTCAGCCTGTGTTTCTCTTTTTATGTTTAGCAGTTGCAAAAAAAAAAAAGCGAAACATAAGGTTTTTCATTTAGGACCAGAGTAAAGTAATTAAATGCACAGAATAGCCAGCAAACACTACCTTTGCAACCTTGTTGTTAAAACCAGAACCACTTCCACATGTTATGAACAAGGACAGGCTTATATTAACTCCTGTAGAGAACTCCCCCCTACCCCATATTCAGCTCAAATCCTTGGCCCTGAACATTCGCAGAGCACCAGCGCTGCTATGGAAGAGTGGTGCTTCATATCTATAACACTGTGTGTCCTTGTCTTTTTGTAATATACCAGTTACAGTTTATTCTGTACAAAAATAATCAAAAACAAAAACATAAAAAATGTGATGTAAATCCATCACGTTCAATTTAACAAACTATATTCCACATTGTTATGTTTAATGCTGCTTGTTTTACCCCATAAGATGACAGACATCTCATAACATTACAAAACCTGTGTTCTTAAATTGCTGTAATATGTACGTTTTCTGTATGTGCTTCTTATATATGTATTTCTATGGTCTAATTTCTATAATGTGCCATGTGCATCTTTAACTGATGCATAATTTTAAAAAAGTAAAACTGAAATTAATAAATGTAAAAACTAAGTAAAACATCTTTGTTAAATAAAACTGACAATAAAAATGCAAAAAAGCTTGGAACCATCTTTTAAATATGAAGTGTTCTAGATATTTTATCCATTGATTAATTTTTAAGTTAATTCTCAATGCTGAACAGATTTCTCTGTTATTAGCTCTGTTCAATATCCAACATTTTTACAGCTTCCAGAAAATTGTTTGAAAAATATAGAATATCAGCACCATATTATAACTACTTAGTACATGTATTTGTAACAAAATCCAAAGTTTTCCACAGTTGTGTATATAGAATGGGAAAAATTTATATTAACTTTGATATTTAACAGTGTAACAACAGTGCTCTGGTTTGGTTTGTGAGATAAAAATAGAAAAGGTTTGTAATTACATAGTTTGCCAAAGGCACAAATACTTTTCACAATAATTACAGTTCTTTAGAAAAGTACAAGTTCCAGTCACCTTTCGCTGCATGTGTCTACACAGACAGTATCTGACAGGCTTGACGATTGCAGTCGAACTTATTAGGTTACCATTCATTCTAGTATACCAGAGAACTCACACCAAGCTTGAACACTGCCTTTCTGCTCACCTTAATATGCCATATTCAAAAATGGAGTTAAACCACATCAAAGCTACAACCAGTATCATAGAAAGCTACTATAAAAACAAACTTCATGGTATCACATTACCATCAGGCTGAAAAAAGTGATCCATTAAATCTAGTTCCAGCATGATAATGCACCATGGCACAAAAGGCTCTCAAAAGGGTTTAATAAACATGACAATGAGTTCAGTGATCTTCAGTGGCCTTCACAATCACTGGCTCTGAATCCAATAGAACACTTTTGGGATGTGACAGAGGGGGAGATTTGCAGCATAAAAAAGTACCTGAAAGATCATGATGCAATCATGTCAACATGGACCTAAAGCTCAAATAAATGTTTCCAACATCTTGTGGAATCCACGCCACGAAGAACTGAGGCTGTTGAGGCTGTTTTGTTTGTACCCAAACACACTTTCTCAGAGTATGTACTTAATGAATGACTGAATTAATGATGGGTGAAAGAAAGTAACTGATACAATTAAGCTAGAAACATACTTCTAACCCTATTACTCTACAGTCTTGTTCATATCTGTGCTTGTGTCAGTGTGTGTAATGTGCAGTATGAGTGCACTGACTGGTTTACCATAGCCACATTCCAGTTCCTTCCCCCTCAACAAAGTGAAGTCTTCCTTCCTCAAGCCCTTGTTTATTCCTCAATTGTTATGAACAACCCAGCTAAAAATGCTGCACACATCCACCGTCCCACATCACACCACTAACAAACACATGATTTAGAATAAATACACAGAGCCATTTAATCCCAGTAAAGAAGCAAGAAGCTTAAGCAGAAATGTCTATCAACTAGTTTGAAAGCGAAAGTACCAGATGCTAGGGAGAACTCTCACAGCTACATTTGTCACGAACACGCTGGGTCTGACAAATGAGATCACTCAAACACAAGCAAATCCATCTAATTTTAGACACGAAAAATAAAGCAAGGGAAAGGAAACAAGAGTTTTGTACCATCCGTTAATCTGTCAGATTAGCCATTAAGGCCCCATAATTACCAGCTGCTAAAGAACAATTCCATCACTGAGTGTTAACATAAACTGTGTGTTTTCAATACTTACAAGCTCTGTGCTCCTGATGGGAGCTTTATGGCATGGTCGTTGGGTAAAAGAGGCAATCAAATTACATGTGGAAAACAAGCGGTTGCTGTTCAGACAAATGGCACGCTGTTCTACTGTTCATATGGAGTGCATATGAGAGAATGGAATATATGATAAAGAGAAGGTTGAGTGGGGAGAGGAATTTGATATAGGAGGGTACAAAAGGGGTCAGGGATGGGATAATCATGTTCAGATTCATACAGGGAGTAGACTGCATTTGGGATTGCACGCAGGTAGACATTACAGTTACACTGGTATATCTGGTATGGCTGCCACAATATAATATTACAGGCATGTCGTTAATAATGTAGGAGTATACATCTTCTGAAGATCGAGGCAATGAGTATTTTACTAGGGAAAGTTATGTTTTGTTGTTTCTATGCGATGCTTCTATATTTTTTATTTAAACATTAAAAAACGAAAGTGTTCCTTGAGCACTGTAATAGAGAAACGAAATATGTACAAATTTATGTATGTAGTATGTATGTATATGTATGTATGTATGTATGCACATATGTATGTATGTATGTATGTATGTATGTACATATACTTATGCTTATAACTCACTCATTCATATTTAGTAGGCTTAAGATTCCCCACAAGGGGGCGCTATTAGCACTCAAAGAGCTTTTGGTGCTTTGCATTAATGACACTGTGTGCCCTAGGTTTTTTAAGAGTGTATTAGACAGCTAAGCTCAGTACATTCTTTTAAAACCATCTTTCTAATTTAAATTTTCATATTTTTTTATCTGTGCCATTGTTTTTTACATTTTCTTTAGATTTATATTGTGTTTATACTATTTTTACTTATTTATTATGTTATTGTTATGTTTATATTTATTTTACAGCTGCTACTTCTGTAAAAAGTGTTTTTTTCTTCTTCTTCTTCTTCTTCTTATGATTATTATTATTATATTATTATTATTATCATCATTATTATTAGTAGTAGTAGTAGTAGTAGTAGTAGTATATTATAAACCCTTCTAGAGCTGCTTCTACCTCCAGCCCTGTCCATCGAGCACAATGAGTGTCTGTGAACCTGGCGCTCCACTGTAGACCACACACAATAATATGACAGAGCTGGACAGCTGGGCTGGGATCGGCCGTCTCGGCCTCTTGATAGACTGAGCGTATAGTATTCCTGATGAATCACACACTAAACCTATTCAAGCACTCCAGCACAGTCGCATAGGAAAGAGGCCGAAAGACTATAGTCCTGCGAAGCTTCCAGACCAGGGTGGGTCATGTCTATCTTCGTTAGAGCGACAGTCCAAAAGCCGAGCGGTGTAGTTAAAAGCCTCAGGGCCCAGCTAGCGTACCTAATGAATCGCCCCCCAGAGCAGATTCTACCAAGCAGTAAAGTACATCAGTTTTCCTTTGTCGAGCTGGCATGGAGACATGGAGAAAGACAAAAACTGAAAGGGGAGTTTGAGATCTGTGAGAACAATGGGGGAAGTAAAAGGAAGTCTGGGAATTAGTAATGCTGATGCCTCTCATAAAACAGTGCCAGATTTTTTTTATTTGGGGGAAGGAGAGTTGAATAAGATCCAGGGCTTGGCCTTACTTGTGCATCCAGAAGGTATCCTATGGCAACAAAAGCCCCTGAGCTTTCTGTGAGAAAGGACACAGGATCAAGTTTGGGTCAAAAGCAAAGAAACCTACCTTTATGTGATCCCACTCTTTGCTCTTCTCTTGTCTCACATACTCCTTATTTATCTCCTCCTACATAAAGAGAAATAAGCAGATTGAAAGTAGACTGTAGGGAGTAGAGAATGCCAAAAGCAGCACAGCTTGCACTCATTTTCCCAAGTTTTAATTGAACATACAGAGTCAGTCTGTATGATGAAGGATCTCTGGCTTTGCACATTGACTATGTGGTGAAGGTTGTGTCATGTGCCGTTCTATCTGAAGCTTCCCACGTCTCCTCACCTGACTAAGCTTTCCACATGTGGGCTGCGCTGTCTGTAGCATTAAAGAGATGGTCACTGAATCCAGCCCTGTGTGAAACATAGACAAGAGGAAACAAATCACTGTAGGCCATAACTCAGATTTACACTGAGGTCACATATGGACAGTCACTTTGTCTATGGCCCATCATAATTGATTTCACAGTAACTCCAAAGAGCATCTCTGAATTAAGGTGTACCTTCATAATTCACAGCATATCATGAACGATAACATTGTCAGCCTGAAGGCCGATCCCACTCAGCGCAGGGAGGTGGGTTGAGGTAGGAGGACAGCAGAAGCAGCTGAACCTATCAAAGCTGATTTAAGATGGTACCTTCTGCTGAGGTGCCATGTTCTATAAATTCGGTTGTTAAGCTAGTAGTGCTATTTTTGCATTTTCACAATAAAGGCTCCTAAATAGTCATTTTTGACATCCAGTTTTAGTAAAAAAACATATTAGACCTTTACATTTGGACTTTACATAAAGGTTCTTCACAATCTCATTCACAAAATTGTTCCTTAAAGAACTTTCTTTTTAAATTGTGTTTTTTTAATAAAATATAGTGCGACGTTATAAAATACATTTTTAAAAACTTAAACCTACCTACCTTTTTTATTTGTACATTGGTTTGTAATTTTTGCCCATGGCCCACCATAAGCATTACACTTTAGCCCTCCAAGACAAAAAGTGTGAGCACCAGTATTTTATGGTGTTGTTCCAAAGAGTCCTTTTTGCCACCTTTATTTTTAAGAGTGTGGGTATAATGGCAGACTGTAGGTGCACTGAAGTTTGTGGTGACTAACTAACCTTGTAGGGCCTCTGGTTGGATGATTCCAGCCTGCACCTCTGTGGCAGTGACAATAGTGCAGGGAGAAGGCTGCTCTTGCAGAATGCTGACCTCTCCGAAAGATTCCATGCAGCCAAGCTTCCCGACCACAACAGACTTGATCCCCCCACCCTACAAATCACACAAATCAGCAGCTCAGCAAGACAAACTGCAGCGGGCCTTCAAATGAATCAAGCACAAGGTATGGTCTCATCTCTGGGATAGGGTGAACCTCTGCTTCCAAAGGAGAAAAAAAATCGATAGGATAAGAAAATAGATGACTTATCATATCTGCTCAAAGCTATCTTTTCTATTCCGCATGGGTGCCTCAGCTATGTCAGATCAAACAGCCTGGGATGGTGTGAGGGCAGAGTTTTTTCTTTCTTCTGACACCTTTTTTTTTGCAGGATTGATCAGGGAGCCGATGTCCTGGAGGATGGTGCACTCGCCTTCACGGATGTAGGCCACAAACGGACACACCCTGCCTTCCTTCACCAGCACTGCACAGACACAACAAACAGATTTATTTAAAAGGAAAAAAAACTGACAGCGCATCTTCTCTTTCTCTCGCGATCTCTCTTTCATTGATTCAGGCATGTACATACATTAGCACTAATGTGTGTGTTAGTAGTTAGTAGCATAGTTAGTACTATGCATACACATTAGAATATGCAGTCATTGAGCAAACGCAATAGCTGTTAATTTATTTATTTATTTGTTGATTTATATTTACGTATTTATTTGTATTTGCTTGTTGGTAGTAAAAGATGTAGCTTCTGTTTCTAATGATGTCATCATGACTGTTTCTTCGTGGTTTTAGGCCAGGTGCTATACAAAACTAGCACAGAGCTATCCACTCCCAATATAATGAATGAATCTCAGGGGACAAAAAAACACACACACAAAAAAAGTGGTCAGAGTGAAGACAGGACTAGAAAAAAGCGGTACACTGTAAATGACAGAAGTAATCTGTGTTTGGCAGAAGCCCCTAAAGCAGCGGATTATTTCTTCATGTGACAAACCTAAGGTTGGTTTGTGGAGGTGAGCATTAAATTGATTTACAGCAAGCCTTTAATGGTGGGGGAAACACTGTATATCAGCCCTGACAGGTGTTTTTAAATCCCATCTCTGTGAAGCAGAGAGCTGGACAAACCAGGCCCATTTGTCTGCTTGGTGACAGCAGCCTGGGCTTCTAAAGTAGAAGCGAACAGCAGGATGGGGAGCAGGCAGATTCACACCCAACACCAAGTGTACTCTCAGAGCTCAGCGTCTTCCTCTCTCTCCCCCCTCTCTCTCTCTCTCATGCATCACTCCTGAAAATCACACTTGCACCATATCTCTTCTACAGCCATTGAAAAACTAATGTCCGGATCACTGGGGAAATTACAGTGCTTTCCTGTAGATGCGCTTAATCTTCTCACATGGCCAGACTAACAACATTAGCTTAGAAATTATTTTTCTCCGCTGGGACATGTACGCATGTGCTGTTTAGATGAAGCACATAACAGCAGCACTGATCCAAGTCCTGGTGCAATAAGCCGTGTCCTGGAATGCATTTATGTCTATATGCAGCAAGTCTGTATATACGTCTGCCATGTTTTATATTTACAAGGTTTCCCATTGACCTTCTCCCATTGAACTTAAGCATCAAGGCTAACCCTGGTCTAGTTTTAGGCTTGTTCTTCATGTTGTTTTGCCTGTGCTTGCAGCGAGAGGCCTTCTGCAGTGTGTGTGGGCAGTAGGCTGACCACACTCTGTGGTAGATCTCATCCAAAGCAGAGGGAGGCCTCGTCTATATAAGTGGGGAATTAGCCAATCTAATAGCCCCCTAACAAGGAGCCATTACGATATTTGAGCTTCTCATTTCCTCTAATGAGGGCTCTGAAATAACAATCCCTGCATGATATATAGCCACATTTGGACCTGAAGAACAGAACGGAGGTGAAATAGGTACAGAAGCACTCTGATAGATGAGAACTGTCATAAATGATACAAAGCAAAACAAAAAATGATTTTGTCCTGGTTTTGCAAAAAGAAAAACACGGGTGTTCTGAAGAAGAGAAGAGAAGAGAAGAGAAGTAAAACAAGTTTTACACATTCCAGAAATGCAGATACAAAATGTAGGTATGCAAAATCACTTTAGTGGGTGAAAAATGGCACAGTATAAATTGAATACATTTACAAAAACATCTCCTCAGATTAAATTCCCCATAAACCCCAGCTAACAGGCTATCTTCTAGAACTGGCATCCTGGTACTGCAAAGGCTGCTGAGGAAGGGAGCAGCTGGAGGGAAGTGGCTGGGGAATGTGGCTCTGGTCCTGGTGGCCCAGGTTCTTCTCCCAGAGATGATGCTCCAGCCCAGCTGGATGAAGGCAGGGCAGCTGCTGTCTTAAGAAGCCAATACAACCACTGATGCAATCCACACAGACAGTGGAGTATTGTGTACTTTTTCTCCAGTGCTGAAGAGCACATTAGATTCACTGATGAGGGCTCCATTCACACTCACAGCGCTCTGGAGGAGCTGTGTTGAAGAGAGTCAGTGGGCTGGATGAGGTGAACTCACAGCCCTGACTATTTCAGTTATTCTCTTGATTCTAGGTCTAATGCAGTTCCTACTGGACACCTTTGCATATAATTGTGTGCTGGCAGAACAAATTCAGTTTTCCCATGGACTGGAATTGTAAGATGCAATCTTCAGTGCTGATGCATGAGAAAGACTGCTAGAGAGAGAGAGTCAGAGAGAGAGGTGTTCCAGCCTTGCTGCAGAGGAGTAGGTGTGCTTATTGTTTCACCGCGCAGCAACAAATGTAAGCATGAGAGACAAGTCAATTATAATGATGCATGTTTTAGTTCTATGAAGACAAAGATCATATATTGTTGGTTGATGATTTTACCCGTATGGGTCAAAACATTTTTTCTGTTGTTAATATAAACAATTTTACAGATACAAAGGCAGAATTGTATACAACCTTTAAGGAGCTCCCCTACATTAAAATTACAGAACAGTATGTTACTGATATCTGAAGACATATCCCAGTTGCATGTGCACTTCCATTTTCGGTACCAATTGCAAGGTTCCGGGTTTTTCACTTCCAAACAAACAATGTTTTTTTAGTCCTACCACTTTGTAACTGACCCACTTTCAAGTAAGATTCCAAACCATTTGACTGTATTTTTAATGGTTACAGAGATTTGTTTGCAATAAATCAGTCACAGGTAAAAGTCATCAAATTTGGGTAACAAAAAATTGAGTTACCTAAGGTTATATCCTGGAACACTTTCATGAAGCTGGATAAAAAAAAGACCCTAGAAGAAAAATAAATATAGCCAGAAGCATCAATCATCAAGGTCTAAGTGCAATAAGCTAGTAAGGGGCCTTTTGGCAGATAAAAGATAAAGACTGTCAATCACAGAGTTTAGAAATGTGAGATCTTTTAGGATGATTTTCAGTAAACAGAAATGCAAAGAAGAATTCTAATTCAAACCGACTGACCTAATGACTTTGGGATAACATATAGTAACGGCTTCGCAAATAACTCAAAATAGCTAAATTAATTTGAATTTGCTGACAAAAGTTGTATCCAGAAACTTGATTGATAAAATAAATGAATCATTAGACTTTCACTGCTTGTCTTCAAGTTACACTGACCAATAGTGGCACTATTTTCAATGCTCTCAAATCTGTTTGCGCACTATATCACCACTGATGGCCAGGTCAATTTTGTAATGCGTCATCAGAATGATATATGTTTGTGTAAAATTTGATGGTGATCAGGCTAAATGTTACTGAGCTTTAGTTGTGAGTGAGACAAGTGAAGCTCAGCAGGTTAATGTGTGGTGGTCATGGTTGGGGAAAAATACTATAGACGTTGTTTTAAGACCTATTTCTAGACAATCAGCTGAAACAGCTTGTTCTGAATCTGAAATGTGAGTTTTTTTCAAGACTGAGCTGCTCTTAGACAACCTGTTAGAGGCCAGTACCAAGATGTTGTACGCTAAATTTGAACTTGCTCAGGTAAACAGTTGCTGAGATACAGTTGCATGTTATAGCACCCCCTACTGACAAACCTGTGTCAAATTTGGAAGGTTTCCTTGCAGGCCTAAGGCATGTGTGCATGTGTCAAGTTTTGGGAGAATCAATGCTTTCTCCATTCTTGAACAAGTAGACTGAATGTATTCCAAGACCAGTTACATGAAGGTCTGATAAAAAACCTGGGACTGCTACATAAAAATTGGTTCAGCATATATCTAAATTAGCTTGACATCAAAATGTTTGGTCCTTGAGCCTGGCAGAAACAATTTTCATAATGCTGACTCACTGTGCAAGCTAGAGATGGCATATCGGTAGTGACAGGTATTGGTTGTCCAGCCTGTAACAGCAGCAAATGCTGGATCGTATATCTAGGATCTGGATCATTTATATTGTTAGTTGTGTATTTCTTCCTGTGGGGGAGTGCTTGAGCAGTGTGAGCATGTCAGGCTATTTTTAGATGCTCATCTGAAGCAAAGGGCTTCAATTAGAAGTGGCTCATTTTAAAGCTTTGTCGTTTTTAAAGAGAAAGTACTGGATCGGCTTTGGTATTGACTGATGCAAAAAGTTTCAATGCCAGTGTTGATATGAGAAAAAAAGTGGTATTGTGCCATCTCCAGTTCAAGTACCTTTCCAGGATTTGGTGTTTCTCCACCTTACGATCGCTCTCCACCTTATGTTAGTGTAGTGTAGAAAGATAATATGTGGTTAGATGGCTAGACAGACAAACAGACGGCTGGACAGAGGAAAGAGGGAGAGAGAGACAGAGAGAGAATGAGAGATTTGGTTCCTCAATGGAAGCTAGTGCAGAGACATGTCACAGACATCTCGCTCCAGGCAGTGGCCACAGAGTCACTCCATCATCAGCCCCTAACTGAGTTAACATTCAAACCCTGACCTTTCCTCACTCTGAATCATCACACACACACACATTCTTCTTCATCACGCTCTCACACCCAGCATAGCCTTGCTACACGGTTGAAGCAGAGGACACAGACACACACAGAAAAATTACAGCTCTGTAGAGCGGAGCAGAAGAAAGGCCAAAATAGTGCACTTCCATTATAAACATGTTACTATAGCTGCTATATGGGAGCGAAAAACATGAATCATCCTCATGTAATTTATGTGTAATGAGCAAATGATGGTCTTGCTAATTGACAGCCAACTCACATCATATCTGTCTCATAAGTAAGAGTGAGTGTACTCAAACACACACTTTTCATACTCAAAACTCTGAGGCAGCTAAACGTGCATTAAACCTCGAGCTGCAATCAGCGCTCTAGATGTTTCTGATCTTTTCAGTCTGCAGTATGGCCTTCACTTAAGACAGGTTAAATCAACTATACCATTATCCATCACAGTTTCCGCCTCACCCCTCCTCTCTCTCCTTCTCTCTCTCTGTCTCTGTCTCTCTCTCTCCATATTATGCTGATAAGGGCTGCTAGCTTGGGCTGGTGATAGAGGTAGAGCATGGAGGGAATGAGGGGAAGGGAGAGAGAGAGAGAGAGAGAGAGAGAGAGAGAGAGAAAGAGAGAAACCTCCTGGCATTGTCAAATGGAAAGCAGTTCCAGATCAGCCAACCCTCCTCCATCGCAAATCATCTAGAGTCTTAGTGCTCTCGCCTGTCAATCAAGTGTCAGGTGCAGACTCTGATAAGACCCAATCAATCCTGTTTTTCCATTCTCCCTCACCTGTCCTGTTAAGCTTTCTCTCTAATCATATCATCCTTCAGAGGTCTGCCTCTGAATCTCTCTCTCTCTCTCTCTCTCTCTCTCTGTCTCTCTCCCTCCCTCTTGCTCTCTCAGTGATAAAAAACAGCGGTGAGATTACAGCCTATCTCTCTCATGAGTGAGGCTCATCTTCACTCTGGACACACAGCCAGCTCTGATACATAAGCCCCTGCTCATTCAGAAATAGCAGAGAAAAAATACCAATGCAATGATAGCAAATTCCAATTTTGGTTAGAATTTACCAAAGAAAAGCATGTCAGATGGTGATCATAAGCAGTATCTGTGTGAAAGCCTTTATCAAACCAAATGAAGATGTGCCTGGTTAAAGAAGGCAACTGGGGGATGCATCCAGAGGGCTGACAACCGGAGTTGGGGCTGAGCCTTGAGGAGAACACGAAAGAGAGAGAGAGAGAGAGACAGACAGAGAGAGAGAAAGAGAGAGAGAGAGAGAGAGAGAGAGAGGATCTGCTGTGGGGAGGAGATGATGAGATCGGAATGAGCTCTCTGAAATAAAGAGTTTAGCCATGGCGCCTTAGTTCCGTCTAATATCTCTATAGACCCATGCCATATGCCTGCCTGTCGCCTCCAGAAAAGAGAGTGAGGGGCATGAGAGAGGGAATGGAGCACCAGGATGGAACTAATTTGCAGTATTCCTTTTTCTTTTTTTCCCCTGTTAGACAGCATGGATCAAAGCAGCCAGCATACATGGCTACAATGTTGTTACAGCACTGAAGTCGATACTGGGAACATCTGGGTTTACTAGAACCATTCTCAAATACGCAAAGGCGCTCCCTCAGACACACACCAGAGTGCACACACACTCACACAAGTCATGTCTGAGTTTTAATCTTTTCTCCAGTGAAGCAGAAAACAAAGTCCTGTCAGTAATTAATTGCATTTGAGCTCAGTACTGGAGGAGTTCTTCTCTTGGCACATGATCATATTGCGGCTCTCTTCACAAATAAACTCTTTCATTAAGAGTCAATCTGGGTTTTGAGGACGGAAAGGGATTAGCTAATTAAGATGATCATCAGCTCGCAGCGCAATGAATTAAAGGAATCTAGATGTCAATCTGACAACTATACATCAGAAGAGAATGCCTTACCTTGATTGGCAGGGAAAGTCTTCAGCTGAATGAGTTTGGCCAGGTGGTCGATAGAAAGTTTGGGCCAGTCAAAGTAGAACTGGCAACCCTGAATTAAAGACTCTTTCATGGCATAAACCTGGGCCGAAATCTCCTGTAAAGAAAACAGAAAGAAAAAAGATCACAGACAGTGTCACTTTTGAGAAATGTCTATTAGCTAATTTCTTTTTCTCACTGTGCCAGGCTAAAACAGTTGTTTTAGAAAAATCATTTGATTTTCATTAATAATGAAAGGCTTAAAATAATTGTATCATTTCATCTTTGCTGTGATTTGCTGAGATGGTGTTACAGATCACAGCTGTGAGATGCACTAACCTTCTTCAGCTTAGCATATCCAGAGTGAGAGATTTTGAGGATTTCACAGGCCTCCAGGGTCAGTGCATACTGCGTGATGATGCCAGTGTCTTCAGAATGTGGAGGTTCAAAAGACCCAAAGAAACCTCCTACACCAATCTACATTACAAAAACAAAAGAATCTCCTCATTAAAGATTTGATCTAAACACTTAGAGCATTAGGAACACAATAATGTTTAGGAAATAGGTGTAAGTGCTTATTTTAAATATTTTCAGTTCTCACTGCAGGTGTTTTCTGGTCTTCTATGGGGGCTTCACGGGTGTATGGTTTCACTGAGCCCTTCAATATCAGGAAAAATCCATTGTGTCCAAATACTGCCAAGGGAAGGGGGTGAAAGAACATTTGAGAAGCAATGTGCAAACCAAAAAAAACCCAAAAAAAACATGGGAATGCTTTCAAATGAGTGGAATCTTAGTTCCTTTGTGTTGCAATGAAATTGTTTGAACTGCAAGCACTAGAAGAACTAAAGACCCATAGCCATAAGACATTTAATTCATTTACATGCACGTAATAATCCAATAACTGCAGAAAATCAGATTTTGTCAGTAATTCGATCAACGCATTTATATGCACTTGAGTAATCAGATAATTGGAAAACTCTGGGTCTACATGAGTCAGACAGTAATCAGATTTCTGCTTTACAACCAGCCAATAAACTCACAGAAGAAGTGGTGACGTAAACGTAATATAAAACTCAAACTTTAGGCTGCAGCTTTTTTTTTTAAAAACATCGAGTCACTTTACCTGTATATATGAATTTACATCATCTAGAAGATGAAGAATATTTAAATCCTTCATTTCATCGAGCATGTAGCTGGTTTCAGTGTTTGGCTGCCATCTTGCGGCAACGCTGCTTGCTTTTTTCCGGTACTTTGGTCTGTTTTGCACATGCCCAGACTGAGAAATCCGAAAGAAATTCAGGTAAGAGTTTACATGCACTGAGAAAACTGATTACTGAGCTAAAATCCAGCTCTCTTTATCAGATTTCTTAATCAGATTTCTAGATCAGAGTATGGTGTTTACATGGCCATTTGAATAATCGGATAACTGCACAAATTATTGAGATTATTGGATTACTGAGTGCATGTAAACGCATTCATTGACTCAACAATGACAGTCATCGGCTAAGAAGCTCAGGCCCTGTATGGCTCAGAATGGACCACTGCTTTATACAATGGAAGTCGAAAATTATTGCTCACATGCACGTCACAACTAGCTGTGATGTGTTTATCCTGCCTGCTCTTAGGGAGGTAAACCACAACAAATAACACACTTTCCAACATGACAATGCAAGATGCCACACAGTTTGTTAAGTGAAATTTAGGCACCATTCATTGAGATCTTGAAATGTGTTGAGAAGAAAAATCCAACTGCTACAGATGGTCTGTGGATAGCATTGAAGAATTTGTGGGAAGTTAAAGTTATAAAAGTAGATATAGAAGTGTGATAAAGCAGTGTGTGCTTGTGTTTAAAACTAGGTGACCTTCAAACTGCTGATCAACACTACACTGTCAAAAAGAACTGCTCAAAGCCTGAGGTCCTCTTGGCTTTAAGACAACCTCATACTGCTTAGTCATCTTCTGTCATATTGAAACATCTGTAATTTATTGTAGTATACAGAAGCCTCCACCACTAAATATCTATCTATCAGTATTGTCCACTTTTTACTTTATGCTCCTACTGCCACTTTAACCTTTCCATCATTGTTCCATCATTTCATCACTTTTGGAGTTTAGAACAGGATCTCCAAACCAGAACATGGTCTACAGTCAAAGGGTTACAATGACTTTGTGTTTGTCTTATCCCAAATAAGAGGGAAAGAGAGCAAATGTATGATGAGAGACTTTAAGAGGGAATCTCTGCCTACAACTTTGTCTAAACACTACTAAATAAGCTTTGAAAGGACAAGAAAACAGCACTTTCCTCTATTGGTTTCTAACACGTTGCACCAATTTCCACATTAAAGGCAGCAGTGTTAGCTTACGGGACTAGCATAGCACAGCAGCACAGATATCAGAATTAGTAATGATCTCAGAGAAGTCAACACATAGTCCTATACCAAGTGGCAATGTATACAGTGGTTCTCCCTGGTCCTGAAGGACCCCCTGCTCTAGCACACAGACTTCAACTCAGTACGGGCTTGTTAATGAGCTGATTAGTTGAATCAGGTGTGTTGGAGCAGGGAAAACATGAAAATGTGCAGAGCAGGGGGTCTTCAGGACCAGGGTTGGGAAACACCACTCTAATATACTACAGTACATCAAAACACTGAATGCACTACAGATAGGGCCAATGTGTTTTAGCTACTCCAGGAGATACATAATTTTGCTGCCCCCAGCCGTTTTGCAACATCACAAGAAATTGGCACATAAAAGCCAATGCTGTGGCCGAACACATAAATGAAATACTATTGGGCTAGCGTACATTTTCAGCACATTAAACAGGCTAGTTACATGAATATCTAAGCAACACACAGTGGACAGATTCAGCCCCTGGATTTGGAGCAAAAAAAAATCTTTCTAGCAGCCTATTGGTGTTAAAAGTATAGAAAGACAGAAGCTAAGGGTACATATATAGGTAAGCATAGCACTTTTCAAAGTGCTTTACAGACAGGTGATAAAGTTAAACAGTATTACAGGAAATTATACGTCTTAATTTAGAATCATATAAGAAAATGACAGATCAAATTAAAAGATAAATATCTCAAGATGTAGAGTTTTAACCTTTTCAACTCCTTGGGACTACCAGTGGTTCCAAAACGCACTTCATCATTTTCTTCATAACTTTCATATTTCATAAGCTACATTCAAAGGGTGGATGTAATTTTAAACTCTTATAATAAAAGAAGCTGAACTCACAAATTTTTTGTCTACTGAAAGTTGACCCATTTTTCCACAAATCTGGGCTATAAACTATAAACAGATGGTGTCTCTTCAGTGATATACTCTGTAAAAATTTATTTTTATAAAAAAATACAAAGAGCATCTAAGATTTTTGGCTTTCAGCAGTAAATTGTAAGCATATAGCAATATGTGTATGTGTATGAACTTTGACAAAAAAATAAAGAAATAATAAAATAAAAATTTACATTCATTTCATGCAGTTACTGAATAATTTGCCTTGATTTGGTCACATAAATTCAGATGGAAAAACCAAAATATACCCTGGTGAAATTAAATGCTAAGTTAAAGAGATACGTTTTTAGATGCTTCTTAAAAGTGAACACTGAGCTTGACTGTCTAATAAAAGGTGGAATTGAGTTCCACAGTTTAGAAGCGTAATAACTGAATGAGGCCTGCCTATGTTTTCTGTATTTTACAGAAGGTATTTAAAGAAGGCCAGTATCTGTGGATCTAAGTGCTGGAACATAAAAATACAGACACTCTGTGATGTAAGTGGGTATTGGGTCATTTAGAGCCTTAAAAACTAATAGTAGAATATTAAAATCTATTCTGAACGATACAGGGAGCCAGTGCAGTTATTTTAAAATGGGAGTGATACGATCTCTCTGTTTTGTTTTTGTTAGGATGCATGCTGACGCATTTTGTACAAGTTGTAAGGTATTGTTTTCTTGGGAAGTCCAGTAAGAAGAGCATTACAGTTATCAGCTATGCTGTAACAAATGCATGAACAAGTTTCTCTGCATTGCTCTGAGATAGAAAAGGCCGAACTTTAGCAATATTTCTCAAATGATAAAAAGCTACTTTAGTGACTGCATTTACATGCGGGATAAAACAGAGCTCAGAGTTTTTGTACCAATGATCAGTATTTCAGTTTTTTCGTGATTTAATCATAGAAAATATTTGTAAATGAGATGAAGAAACAATAGCAGGAGCTGTTTCTGTACTGCAGGATAGGTAACTATATGATTAAGTGTATTTTAAAGATAACAGTGCATTCGCCATTAGACAGTAAAAGGGCAGAAACAGGATTTATTCAGGAATAAACTGTCCATTCACAAAACACTACAGAATTATTGCTTGTTAGAATGTGTCTATGTTTTTGAATCTATGGTTTCTTAATGTTAATTTAATTCCATTACGAATTTTATCTACATAATGACACTAAATCCAATGAGTTCACAAAGAAAGACTAGACAGACTCGCTCATTAGCGAAACATCTCCTTTTTTGGCTTTGGTTTAGAAAATTGGTAAAATTTTACTCCCTTTTCCAAACCCAAGTTTCCCACATGTAAAGCTGCAGCATGAGCACTTATCACAAGTGCCTGTGCACGCCAAGCTGCAGCTACGAACGGTCAATCTGTTTTTCTAATTTTGTAATTTTGTTACCAGATTTATCTGCGACTGCTACAACTACCCCTCTGTCTATTACAATTAACCCTGCCTATGGGGTTGGTTATATTTGCACTGAATTTGTGGCTGAATTCTTCTCAAACGGTCTGGCTGGAAACAAAGTTTCTGTTTTGATTTCTAGCAGAGATGTGTAGGTTGCTTGTATAAAAATATGCCTTTCAAATTATTTAACAAAAACTGCATGTGTCAGGCTATGCCCTGCTCTCCCTTAATATTTAATCAAGTTTGTCACAGGTGAGAATAATCTGGTATATTTTGCCACCCTTCCTTTGCCTGGTTCACTTTAATCGACATGCAGGCCCTGACCTCACAGCTTTACTGTAGACCCTAGAGTCTTCTATAAAGACACACACTCTCACAGGCATGCGCACACACACACACACACACACACACACACACACACGGCAGCATAAATCTTTCAGAAACATCCCTTCTGTTTGGATCTACAGTATCTAAAGGAAAGGTCTCTAATATTGAAAGGCTAATAAATAAAACTGACCCAAAACCCAAGAGAAGATGAAAAACGTTGTGTAAAAACAAACACCATCCTGAACCGACACCACAAACTCAATCACACACTCCAGGCACGTTCCCCAAACTTCTCTCACAAAGTGGCCAAGAACAAGCAACAAATTGCCCTCTTTGTGATCCATAATTATCAGACACCCAAAACCTTGAAGCCATAAACAAATATGTCTTTCAACCGGCACGTCTGCTTGGGCATCATGCAGCTGAATAAATATACCTCCAGACTGCTGAACACATCCATTATTGACAATCTGGTCTAGACCAATCAATAAAGCATTCGCCACCTCAGAAATACCATCCACTTACAAAAGAGCCACTAACTCCATGAAACCACTGGCTTAAGAGTTTCATTAAATTCTCTTTCCTTTATGTTTTTGCTCAATAATCCTTGTTGGCTGTGTCTGTCAAAATGTGTGTTAAAAACACAGAACAAAGCGCAGCCCTGCTTCACATCGACTCAAACAAATTGAGGCCTGTTATCCACAAGGTATTGGCAGTTCTGCTCGCATCAATAGGAAATCATACTCCTCTGTCTGGCCCCTTCATAAGCACAACCTGTCAAATAGCCTCAATTGGCTTGGCAATATTCAGGCGCATTAGGGGAGGAGGAGAAATCAGTAAACGCATTGTGTGCAGGAGGATGTACAGGAATCACTCACATCAAAGCAAAATTAGAGGTGACATTGCAAACATGGTGTTACATGAGACTAAGACACTAGCGAATGTGCTTGATGATTTGTTAATTTCATCTGTTGTTTCTGGCTAAGAAAGATCCCAAAAGAGTCTGATCTGCTCTCTGTTTCTTTTCCTTCTCTCTGGTTGATGCCCTCCCTCTGTCTATCTGTCAGTTTCTGTTTTCCAACACTGTCCATTTCCCTCTCTGTTTCTGTCTGTTTCTCTCTCCTTGTCTGTAGCAGCCTGAGACAGGCCATTGAGACATGATGGAAATGCAATAAACAAGCAAGCAGTCCAAAAGAACTGAGGAAAGGGAGGGTGTTGAGATTTAAGCATCTGGTTGATGCCACAGCTTCATCTGAGGACTGTAATTTCAAAGCCAAATCATTCTCAGCACTGATGTCTGCGTTTAAAGCAATGCATCTTTCACCACTTACAAATGCGTTTTCATTCAGGAGGCTCTTTCAAACTCCCCAAAACAGACTGCAAACAGACATTAGCCCTACACTTCAGCTCTGTGTTAGAGGACAGACAATGAATTATGAATAACAGCCAGTGAATATTTAAAAGAAACACACACAGATAAAAAAACCTCTTTGGTCCAAGCAGACAATGCTCACTAGATGCTGGAGAGATCTATTTGAAGATATTATACTACTACAAAAAGTAAATGTGTATGTGTGTGTGTGTGTGTGTGTGTGTGTAGTTCAGTAGTTCAGTAATTTTATTCTCCCTAGAGTGGAATCTGCTTCGCAGTCAAGCTCCACTGTTACTTCACATCTGAAAAAATAGGTGTTTCTGTTCATCCTTCCACAGTGAAAAACAACTCAACACTATGAGTCTGAAAGTGTAGCTGTCAAGAAGCCCTTACTGAGAAAAGGAAATAGACAAAAAAGAAGAAAGTTGAAACTGGAGATGTGGAGTAAGATTTTTGGAACGATGAACTGACAAGTGTAAATTTGTAATTGGGATTACTTGGATTGTGAGAAGCAGGAAACTTCTAAGACTAAACTTTGGAAAGTCTCCTAGAAAGAACTGATGCTGTAATAAAAGGAAAGGATGAATGTACTGACAATTTTCAGTATATTTAGCTGTTGAGTTTTGTGTAATTTTCTGTTAAATATGTTTTCTTCTTTTTTCCAGATGCTGAAAAATGAATAACTTGTAATTAATGGTAATTTTGAGTGGAAATTAAACCATTTGTGCCATTTTCCATGTGATTTCACAGTAATTGATATATGACCAGAGGCCCATTCAAACTCAAGGTCTGCAAGGGCATGAAAATGAAGCCCAAACCCCACCTGTGCCTTTGAGTTTCTGACCATACAAACTATTACAGATACCATAGAGATTTTGTGTGTATGTTCCAGACAGAGAAAGAGACTGACTAACCATCCGCGAGAGTATGAAAGACAGAGAGAGTGTGCAAGACAAAAAATGTGTGAGAGTGTGTGAACTCTACTACATAAAAATATAACTCACTAGAAAACAAACCCGATCCTAACCCAAGCACGGTGATGCAGAGGACAAACCATCCCGAACCCAATCCGAAACCCGATATTTTCTCAGACCCCATTGGGCTCATGTCAGGTAGCAGACCTCTACTTCAAACAGGATCAACACACATTTTTCTTAGATCTGTTCGCATGTAGGGTATGCACTGTTGCAACTTTAGATGCCAGTTGGCTTAAACAGAACAAATAAATGAAAGGATAGTCTCAGAATTTTGCATAGTACTATAAAAAACAGGCAAGCAATTACTGATTGTGGCTCATCTGTAGCTGCACAATGTATCAGCCCCCCTCTACACTGTCCATGAATGGAAAGGGATCACCATAGGACCACCGCTAACCCAGTTTTATTTGGGTGATGGATAATTCTCAGCACAGTTGTGACACCGACATGGTAGTGTGTGTTGTGCTGGTATGAGTGAAAGAGGAACATATGGGGTTTTTACTTGTCTCAGTGTCACTGATGGGTGAGCTACAGTCAGTAATTCTGACTGTACAAAGTGCATCTACATAGCAGGTACATATGATAAAATGGCCAATTTCACATGTTTTCAATTCAATTAAGAAATTAAGCATATAAAAGTGAATGCTACAAATTCAGGGTGTGTGCATGCACAGGAGCGTGCTCAGAATCTATAGTTCAGCAGAGCACAACAGACCCATTCATAACAAAGTAATAATCAGCTACGGTGATTTTTAAATGGTGTGTAAAGTTTTCTTTTTGCTGATTTGTAAGAATTATATAAGTTGGTGTTTAATTTGACGAGGTACAGGACTGCGGGTCGGCATTTTTGGGCTTATCACAGTATCCATGAAATGGTCAAATCCAAGGGTAATATTAGGAACATCAGACTGGTATTCACTTTTATACCTCCCACACACAGTGTGTACTTACCAATCTGGCCACGGTCCCAGGTCTCGATGATGGCAATAGAGCTGACCTTATGTAGCTCTGGCTTGGCCAGCTGGGTGGTAAGACAGGGAAACATCTTCAGCATTTTATGGATGGCTTGAAGATCTTGCTGAGATCTCTCTATAGGACTGCAAAACACACATACAGTATATACTGAAGAGATAACCCAAGTATTAATGATGAAGTTGAAAAGTCTGTAGGACAAATTGACTCAGATCTATTTTCACCCTTGTTAAAGTATAGCAGAGTCCCCAAGTAATCCTTCCAACCAGAACAGAAAAAATAAGCCCCTCAATGTTTATTCACAGCTCTGCTGTTTCAGTGAAATACCTTAAGGAGTCAACAAACAGAAAGTATGGCCATGAGGAAAGTGTTAAACCTTAAAGGCATGGGTGTTGTCTCACACCCCAGGTCACTGGCAACCTGGCATATACACTGTATGTTCAAAAATATCCAGGCATCCTGCTAATTAGTGAATTCAGCTACTTTAAGGTGCACTCATTGCTGACGTAGGAAATTAATTGTGCACACATAACTTATGTAATCTCTTTAGAAAAGCATTGCCAATGGAATTGGAAACTCTGGAGCAGCCAAACATGAGCCTAATGTCACCATAACCAATGGCAAGGATTGGCCAGAAGCATATAAACTGAACTGTGGAGCAGTGGAACTGTATTCTTTGGAGTGATGGAGCATCATCAAATACCTTTAGAATGACCTGGAGTGGCGTTTGTGATCCAGAAATAATCATCCAACATCAGTACCTGACATCACTCATGTTCTTGTGGTTGAATACAATTCAATTATCAGGTCAATTGGTCGTTGTTGTCATTCCTCAAATACAATTTGTATACATTGTATATAAATTGTATAAATCCTCACAGTAATGCTTCAACATCCAGCATTAAAAAAAGCCTTCTCAAGTATGGAGATTGTTACAGCAAAAGGAAAAAAGTCAGTACTGTGAACTGAATTGAATCATTACATCATTACAGTGTATATCTAACATACACTCATCTAATGTAATGATAGTGAACACCTGTTTGACAATAACAACATAAATATCTTTGACATTTTGTCACTTATCTGAACTGCGTTTTGCGGTGTAGTGTGAGGTCACGTATCACTTTAACTACATGAAGTATGCATTTAAGGGTTTAATTAGTAAGTCATAATGCATTTTGAGGGTTTGGTCTCAGCTTGTAAGGTCTTGTGTTGAAAGGGGAGTTCACTACACCCCCCACTAGCCACCCCTCAGTGATTGAGAGTGGACAAATGCCAGGATGGGCTCAGGAGAGTTTACCTACAGCAGGTAGCCAAGGAACCATTCCGCTTCATGATGAGATGATAATTAGGATGCCACTATGTGTGTGTGTGTGTGTGTGTGTGTGTGTGTGTGTACATGTTTGTGTGCTGGGTGAAGGTCAAAGCCATCAATCATGCTCCATGTGTGTGTTTGCATGTGCATGAGTGTGTAGGGCCATGTCAGTCTCAAACAAGACAGCAAACGAGAAGTGACTGCTCAATCCAGCGACTAAAATATTTGCCCCTTATGCACAAACAGACACACACACACACACACACACACACACACACACACACACACAGATATACGCTCACTGAGCACTTTAGTAGGTACACATACCTTCTATCTAATTTTAAATCATTTTATCAGCTCCACTTACCATTTAGGTGCACCTTGTAGTTCTACAATTATACCGTACACTGTAGTCCATCTGTTGCTCTGCATACCTTCAATGGTATACCATTATATACCAGCGCAACACACACTAACACACCACCATGCCAGTATCACTGCAATGCTGAGAATGATCCACCACCCAAATATATTTATATGTTTGTATATGTATTTTCTACATATATAATCCCTCAGAAAAAGTAATAAAATGGTCAAAACAGAGGACAAAGGGTACAAGAACAAAAAAAGCTACATGTTCAAAAGATCACAAGTAAGATCATTATTCAGACAAGTGTAAGTTATTTTCTTTGTCACGTGCTGTATTCTTTAAATTTAATATATAGTATATATAAAGACAAACTTAATACACAATCAAACGCTGCATATATTGTGTTCTAACAGAGATATAAAACATAACATAGTGCGCATTACTAAAAGTGTTTTGCATTTAGAGGACCGATGAACTGACTCCCAGAGAAATACACCATGCTGCCCTTCATTTCAAGGTTCACAAACATCTACAGAGCACCCAGCACAGCTTCCCCTCCAGAGCGTCGTCCAGACATACAGCACATTATGCAGGAAGATAATGGGATATTGAATCTCCACTCCATGTCATTTCAGGAGTAGCAGCACAGCAGCTCTAAGAAGGACACCATTAACAGCAACATTATCTGTCATCGGCATAAAGACGAGTCTTGCATGTTAATATCCTGTCACATGTTCAGACGATGCAACGTTCTATTCACCTCACTGAGACTCATGACGGTGTGTTTGGAGCAGGTGCTTGTATTCCTTCACTGCAGACCCAGGAGAGAGATCACAACAGAACTGCCATCCTATGCACGGCTCAACATCAAGAACGCTTTAAACCAATCCAGTGCATTTTATTTAACACTGTGTTAGTAAAAATCTAGATGAATAGATTGCATTGTATTGCACAACACAACCCTTCAAAACGGTGTTTTCAGCTTTGTAGACAACAGTTAGTCCTGAATCTGACTGACTGAGAAGAGTGTTTTTGCGATAACATGACATTTGTGATAACAGGACTGTATCATTCTGCTTAGCGCTGGCTGCTAAGTCACAACTTGCTTTACGGTGCAGCTAGCAACCATGAAGTTTCTACTTACAAAAACAGAAAATGGACACATTAGACAACTTCTGTAAGATAATAGTTTACCTGCACCCCATTTGGTCAGATTCTAAAGAAGAGTGTGACAGAGGGACAAATTTCAAATCTGTCATCCAAAGAGGAACAGTGCAACAACTTAACAAACTGGAATTAGCCAAAAGAACAGAATACAATTTAGTAAACAAGATGGGCTGTGACATGCTTTTACAGACTGGCTGTAACAAGCCAATTACTGAAAAAGCTGAGCTGAACCTGATATTGCGACAGGGTTATGGCTCTATTCATAACGCAAAAGGATAGCTTGCTTGTTCTATTGCTTTAAAATGAAGGGAGATCCAGTTCTAAAATCTGGCTGGCCATGTTCAATACCATTGTAAAATACCAGATATACATACATGACTGCACACATCAACTGAATTCCGCTTTAATGCGCCAACATACTATTTTGCTTGACAACCATAGCCTACTGTTAATGAACTAACAATAAATTTCTTGGTGAAAGTCATTTTTACGATTATAGGATTATCATTAATCCATGAAATTATTTATTGAACACTGGTGTATCTTAACGTATTGTGCCTTGCATTATTGTTTTAAAGGGTCCATATCATAAAAGACTGAATTGTCCTCAGTTTTTTAAGAGTTTGCTGTAGTATTTAAACATTGTTCAAGTTTTAAAACTTGCCATTCACTCATCTATTGTCATGGTCAGTGCCTGAAAAAGTGTTCTACCCCTTGGATAAAAAAGTACCTCACTCTTTTGTTTAATCATAGAACAATGAATCACAGCAGATTTTATTTTTTACACTGCTCAACAGAAACAGGCTCTTTCATGTCACAATGAAAACAGTGATTTAAATTAATTACAAATATAAAACACAAGGTACCTGACTGCATAAGTATTCACCCTGATATGAAGATCACCTGTGCATAGTCAAGGGATTCTAAGTGATTGTAGTATAAATACACCTGCCTCTGAAAGGCCCAACTTCTGGTGGGTCAGTATTGTGGCATAATCCAAATCATGAAGATCAAACATACTTCAAGCAACTCTGTGGCAAGGGGACTGAAAATCACAATTTAGGAAATGGACACAAGAACATTTCCAAGTTACTGAATGTCCCTTGGAATATACTTAAATCAGTAATTTAGAAATACACAGCTGTAAATTTGCCAAAAACAGGCCATTGACAAAAACAACTGTGACCGTGCAAGAAGAAGACTAGTGCGTGAGGCCATCGAGAGACCTATGAAAAATCTGAAAGAGACTGGGGAGACATACAATAACTGTTGCCTGGGTGCTTCACCAGTCACAGATTTATTGCAGAGTGGCAAAAAGAAAGCTGCTGTTCAATAAAACTCACATGACTACTCAGCTACAGTTTGCCAGAAGGCACATGAAAGTCAGCTGGTTCTATGGTCTGGTTCTTGGCTACCTTGAAACCTGGTGATGGTAGCATCATGCTGTGGGGATGCTTCTCTGGAGGCTTGTGAGGGTAGAGTGCAGATACAATACAGGGAAATCCTAGAGGAAAACCTCATGCATTTTGTAAGAAAACTGAGCCTTAGGAGATTTGTCTTCCACTACAACAGTTGCCCCAAGCATACAGTCAAAGATCCACAGGAATGGCTTAAAAAGAACAATGTTAATGTGGAGTCCAGAGCTCAATCCAATAGAGAAATTATGGCTTGACTTGAAAAAAGCTGTTCGCCCACAATCCCCATGGAACCTGACAAAGCTTGAGCAGTTTTGCGAAGTGGAATGGGGAAATACTGTAGTGTCCAAATGTGCAAAGCTGACAGAGACTTACTCACACCGACTTAAGGCTATGATTAGAGGTGAATAAGTATGCAATCAGACACTTTGTGTTTTATATTTGTAATTCATTTAAAACAGTTTGCAGAGATCTTTTTTTTTACTTTAACAAAAGATTTTGTTTCTATTGATCTGTTAAATTAATTAAATCCACTGTGATTTAGTGTTCTATGATGATAAAGTATGAAAGCTTCCAAGTGGTGAATCCTATTTATACTGTATACAAACTAAGCTGCAAAACGACCTTGTTTTAAATAAATTATTTTCATCAAAGTCACAAAAAAAACAAATTATTTTCATATAACCACATATTACATCTACAGCAATTTAGCTCAGACATTTAGGTTGAAGTGATTAGGTCTGGATATGTATGATTTTTAAAGGCATAGTACAAAAATACAGCCAGTTTGATTCTAGGGGTTAATGATACATTGCAAAATGATCAGGTAAAAATGAACTATAGCTGTTTTAAACCAAC